CCCTTAATAAGAGAACCTGAGTATTCCAAACTTGTCAAGGACTAAAACAGCCTCCTTTTCCAGTCAGTCTTATATAATTACAATGTAAAACATTGATTCAATAAAAGAATTGAACTAACAGGAAAGGTTAACCTCTCTTTTTATGTTTAATTTTTATTTTTGCATTCATGAAATGTGTTCATCAAACTTTGACAATGCAAGAGGAACATGAAACATATCAAAAATGAGCAATTCATTTACATAATAAAGGAAAGACAGTTTTTAAATAAAAAGCTTTAAACTGGATGACGGAGAGATTAAAATTAAAAATCCAGTCGAAAGAATTAGTAATGCCATATAAAGTAATTTGGCTTCGCTGTTATGAAAGCATAGTTACGTAATAAACAATTTCAAAACACTGACAAACTCACTTAAGCTTCATGATAAAATTATAAGCAAATTATGTGTTAAATATTAGAGATATATTTTAACTGAGTGGTCAAGGTGCTATAGATCGCGTAAGAAATGAAGAGAGAAAAAGATTTTTGGAAACTTTCACAACGTTGCTTTTGATGTTACAATGTTGTGAATCATGCAAACTATTCAATTAATTGGAAGTGAACCTTACAAGATGATATTTAAGGTCTTCCGTTTCCAACGGAAAACCTTATTGTTTTCGTTCGGTTTCTTTTTCCCCATTATTATTATTATTCCAACCGATTTTGTGCACGCGATTTCTCCGAAACGGCTCGGCCGATTTACATGAAATTTTCATATATTATAGCTAATTAACTGATCTTGATAGGTTTTTAAGTGTTTTTATCACATCACTTCCGGTCGCGAGATATAGACAATTTTCTGATTTTAAAATGCAATTTTGTCTTGACTTAGTAGCGAAAACTGTTTAAGATATGAAGTGGAAACTTATTGGAGATGATAGTTCTTGACTTATAGCGTTGCAGAATCATATTTTCGTGCGTCGTCAATACTTCCGGTCGCTACCGGAAGCGAATTTAAAAAACGCAATTTTTCAACTTTTGTTTTTTAATATCTTTATTTTTGATTTGAATAAAGACTCTTTTGCAGAAGCCAAATATGTAATTTGTTTGAAAATCGGAAAAACCAATCTCGAGATATTTGCATTTGAAAACTCGAAGCAGCGATCCCAATGGCTAAATGGTTAGCGCGTTGGATTCTCACGCAGGCGAACCGGGTTCGATCCCCCGTGTGTCCAAAAAATTTTCTCATTTTTTCTGCTCGATTTTTCGATTTTTTTTAATTTTAGACCATTTGCAACTACATATTATAAACTTTTAAGCATATCTTGCGTAATAAGGTGTCACAAGGGGCCAGAATGTCAAATCTTTGACGCTTTATATCTCAAAAAGGGGGAGTATTTTGATGAACAATATTGAACAAAAGTTGGTCAGAAAAATGTTTTCAACAATATGCATACTTTGAATTTTTGTAAAACGACCCCATTAAGGACCTTGAGCGATGGCCCCATTCAATACACATACCCATTCAATTTTGCAGCATCCTAGAGCCGTATTGCAATCTCACAATACACAGCCACATATGGCTCGTTTGACACACCTATTCTTGCAAAGAAACAACAACCTGTTTCAGTCACAGTCATCTAAATCGCTAGATTTAATCCAAATTAAGCAGCATTGGACAAAATAGATTGACATGATTTGCCAAAGACAATCGCATCCCCAGACTCTGCAACAGCTGACTGAAGTTCTACATTTGGAGTGGGAGAGTATTCCTACACAGTTTTTATTACACATATTTGCTTCCATTAGATGCCGTCTGTCGCTATCATTTGTGTCTACCAGATATTGATCTTTAATGGTCTTAAACTGACTATAATTTTAAAATTGTTGAGTAATTATGACATTTAGATAGTATTCCTGTTGCTTACCACATTTCTGTTTTATCAATGCATCATTTTACTAAATAATCTTTATGTTCAATGTGTCACTGAAATTCTACGATGCGTTTCTTTTTTTGAAGAGTATATGATTAAATTTGGATCATATGTTACGTAATTAGGGGTCACAAGGGGCCAGAATGTCAAATATTTGACACTTCATATCTTGAAAAGAGGGAATATTTTGATAAGCAATATTGAACTAAAGTTGGTCGGAATAATGTTCTCAACAATATGCATTCTTTGAATTTTTGAAAAACGGCCTCATTTAGGACTTGTAGGGGTGTCCACTAAATATTTCCATTTTGCATATCTCAACAACGAAAAGAAATCTCTGAGTAGGTGTTGAACAAAGTCTTTGAAATCACAAGACCCCTCTTTTGATATCAAGACAAAGGGGCCAAAAGTCTTTCATTTATAACTCTATAATGATCAATATTTTGTGATACAAGGGAGAAGCAAAGGTATTCATCTTAACGATTTGCAACAATATATGATAAAATTTGGATCATATGTTACGTAATAAGTGGTCACAAGTGCCAAAATACTACATTTTTATGCTCAGAATATCGTGTTAAAAATCAGATACTTTAAATTAAATGAAGGAAAACTTCATGTCATTCTCTTTAAACGAATATCTCAGTCAAAATCACATCTCATCTCATCGAGAAATTCAACGGAAGACCTACTCGTTGCTCGCAACGAGATCTCATCTAGTTCTTTTTATATTTGGGGATGAGTGTGTTGTACATCCTTAAAAATAATGTTTAGTATAAGTTAGTTTTTCCCGCTTCAGACAAATTTGTAGATTGCTGATTGGATAAAGGCTGATCACATGACGCCCTGAAATTTTCCGTATTACATCTCCGTCGAGGAGTAATATGAAATTCGGGCATGCAATTCCCTTCGCAGCGTTATTATTGTAATATAAATGGCGGTTAAGAAACGGTTTACATAAGTAGTCTAGTTAAATTTCTTGTTACCATAACGATATTTTATGTTGATTGTTATTGGATTAAAAAATATTTTTATAATATGCACAAACATTGTTTTTATATTGAAAAAGGTCTTCAGTGGGATAAATTCGTAACACAGTCATTTAGTGACCTAATACGGATTCATACAGGGTGTGAAATGGAAATTCGAACTGAGAATAGGCTTCGCCTCGTCCATTACGGATTTCCATTTAACATCCTGTATGAATCCGTATTAGGTCACTAACTGACTGTGTAACTAATATAATCCCGCTTCAAACAAATTTGTAGATTGCTGATTGGATAAAGTCTGATCACAGTACGCCCTAAAATTTTCCGTATTATGTCGCCGTCAAGGGGTAATATGAAAATCGCGCGCGCGATTACGTTCGAAGCGTCGCTTTTGTAAATAATAAAGGCGGCCAAGAAACGGTTTGTAGAAATCTTAAAAGAACCAAAGAAAAGCCTCTACAATGTCTTTAGTAAAATTACACTAGATCTGTAATAGTTTCAACCAGACGCTCGGCTGTCTCCGTAAACACTGACGAGCTCCGTTACGTCATGTGAAGTCAGAGTCTAGATGTCTCGTGCGACTTGATGTTTGATGTGGCGGATCAACGTTTTGAGTGTATTTTTGATGGTACAACTGCGCTCGCCCCAACAGTCACACCGTAAAACATATTAGGTAGAAAAAAATATGATTTATTTTAATTGGATAATTTGTGGGATAATTTTCTACCCATCCATCAACCTTAACGTAGAACCTACATCTTACGCATTGGCGTCGGAAGCAAAGTGAAAGGGGGGGGGGGGGGGCAAAGAGAAAATTCTGACTTTGCACAATGATCCAAACGATTTTTTTCCGCAGTTACTTCTGGACCCACAATGCATCGCATGTTTAAATTATGTTCTCGCATGAATAACAAAAAAAGTTCAACAGATAATAATCTTGCCTTGATTTAATGAATATATTGCTGAAAAATAGTCAATAAAATGGATCTTCATTAAAATCATATTCATGCTTAGGTTTGGTAATGTTACTTACATACAACGGCATGTGACATGCGGTTTGACGAGCCCGATCTAAATTAATACTGAATACGAGTATCTACGCTCGCTCTAACGGTCGCGCCATCAACATATTAGTAAGGCGGCGCGAAGCGCTGCTTACGTAACGAGCTCCATAGACAACGTGTACGAACGGAGGAAATTAGGGCTGAAATCTGCAAATTTACTAATTGTTCTAAGTAATTTTTATGAGCCCACGTGAAAATTCCAAACTCCCTATAATACTTAGCGGTGCATAGAAACATAACTAAAGCATAGCAACAACTTACTTGAAAACAGTAACAAACAACGATTTAATGCATTTTCCATGCCACAAAACTATCGTTCGCGTCCTCAGTAAATATGACTTTGTACGTGACGTCTTAATTTCGTCACTTCAACGACTTGGGTATCTTCGATCATGTCAGAAAAATCCGCGAAATTAGGAATCTCGATCCCGATGCACTGGGAGGCGGCAACAACTGAAATGTCCGATACACAGTAAACACACGCTTAATGAGTTTCCTGAACGATTTCACCGTCGGACATATTAGTTAAGTTAACGAATCCAACTCATGTAATGAAAATGCAGGAACACAAATATGTTTAACGTTCATGAAATGCTACTAGAAGTATTTTGAAGGATATTTAGGATTTTGTGCATAAACAAACATATAAACAGAAAAAACAGATCGACAGACAGACGGAGAGGGCAAAAAAACTATGTACCCCGAATCTTCGAGTACGTGGCATTAAAATTACTATCAACATCAATAAGACTTTCTTACAAGTTTCTACATACACTGAAACTGTAAGTTCAAATATAAATAATCTAGAAACATGTCGATTTTGTTTGCTATAGTCCTATTCAGGTGCACATTAAAGTTTTATTCATAAGTACAGAATTCCAATTATGGAATAGTACATGTGGTAATTTATTATGCAAGTCTAATTGCAAATATGTATTCTAAAAAAGAGAGACACAAATCATTGCAGACAAAACGTATTTACATTGACGTATCAAAATCAAATCATAAAGCCTATTTTGCCTTCAAGTTTTATTCTTAGGCTAGGTACTTTATTCTCTTGATTATTCCCGTTATACACTCCCCCACCATTAACTCTCCCTCCCTTACGACACGCACGGCCCGTGGAGTCTCTATCCCCTGATCAGGAATAATGTACCTCAGGAATCGACCGTCCCTGTCCAGCATGTGGATTTTGTCGTTCTGGAAGTCCGTGATGATGATGTGATGCATGTTGTCTGTGGTAAGGGAGCCTCCGTTAATATCTTCCTTGGATGATTTGTTTCCTGTATAGGAGAACCTGAATATCCCGAACTTGTCAACGACTGTGACGGCTTTTTTATCCCAGTCAGCTACACAAATGTCGCCGTTACCATTCTCCACAGCGTAAACTGCTTTTTTAAACAGAGGCTGGTACTGGTAGTCGTACTGGAGTTCTTGCAGCACGTCACCAGAACTGCTGTATCTTACAATTTTTGAGTCCGTTTTGTCTGTAGAGACAGACAAGGAGGTCCCCTGCCCCGGTGCAGGCAACACCATAAGAATTCCACTCTCCGATAAAGCACGTATGATCTATACCGTCTTTTAAACTATTGACAGACTTTTTAGTATAATCGATGTACACGACGTTTTCATTTAGATGAGTCAAGTGTAATCCTATACCGTTTTTGATGTCTTGAATTAATTAATTTTTTTTGCTTTCAAAATGGTTAACTTTATAAAATCAAAGCTTTTAAGATGTCTAAACACAGGACTATTATGCAATGTAAATATTTAAAAATATATATAATTTTGTACATATATTCCTAAAATTGCCTTTTGTTGATGTAAAAAAAATTAATACAAAGGCAGGTGGCCAACTATTAACACACAATACCCTATCTGCATTCTTTTCCTACAAATATCAAACGACGCAGTTCAATATCTCTTGACAGTACTGGTATCTAACGAATATTTGCATATTATACTGGAAAAGAACGTATTCTATGTCACATGACATTTGCACAGTGGGTCAGGGGAGGAGCGACTTGATGTAGAGTTCACATCTTATTTAATGTTGTTAAAAATTTATTTACTTAAATATATATTATACTTATCTGTAGATCTTGATATAATGCAATAATTGAATAGTGAATGCAGTTTTGGAAACTAATGTATAAATTGTAAGCTTGTTGATATATACTGAAATAATTACTGTTGTTGGTTATAATTATACCCGGTAGTTGTTTCTGATAGATACTAGTAACTATTGTCGTCTCAATGTTGAATTTAATGAATAATGTTGCTGAGCTCTCTATGATGAGATATCTGAGTCACTGCGCTCATTGTTCTCAAGCTGAAAACGTGCAAAAATAGAGCAGAGGGCTATTGAAACCGGTTACAGTCGCCTATGTGGTGCAGTGGTTAGAGCGTCTGCTCTAGAGTACGAAGTAAGGGGCTAATCCTTACGTCGGAGGTCCGAATCCCACTATGGGACGTGGAGACCGGTCCTTCGGATGAGACCGTTTAAACCGAGGTCCCGTGTCGCAGTAGGTGTTGGCACGAAAAAGATCCCTCACTGCTGATTCGTTTTCAAATGTCATAAAGCCAGATTCACCTTTTGTACTACATGTACTTTCAAAACCTACAATATGCGCACATTCCATCTTAAAGACGAGTCATTTCTGTTTACAAAAGCGTTTTTTCTGACTGGTTTAAGTCCCTGATCGAGAACACATGAAAAAATAGTTTGCTAGCCCAACTTTCAAATATCGACTTAATTCAAGAGCTTGGATAGAGAAATATTATCACAAAAACTTGATATTGTGATAAAAAAGAGACTTTTCTATTATCCTCAAATAACCTAGAACTCATTAAAATTGTCATTTTTTACTGTCTGAAATGACTACCTTACATATTATCATGTATTTTAATGAAATGAAATGAAATGCAAATGAATATAAATCCACACCACCATTAAAACGAACTGCATTACAGACATATAGCCACCTAAATTATTTTTAGCCGGGCTTTGCTGAAAGCAAAGTCCTGGCTTTAGGCATCATGATCGACTGTCTTACCATACATAGCACTGTAAACAAGGAACCAAACAGCGCCAAAGCAGACACTACTGATAAACAAAAAAGTCCCATTGCGAGACGATATTCAGAAAAATATTTTTAACATCCCAAACGTTGCAAAAGTTAATGATCAATATTTTTGCTTGAGAATTAAACTTAGATATTTGAGAAACTTGAAAAATTAGATGTTTGCTCTATTGGGATAATCGCGATATAACAATTTGTGCACATACGCTGCTAAATGCATATTGTAAGCGAACTATTTTCAATGGCGAGGGCTTTTCGAAAAGTTGAAATTGATGAAGAGTATCATGTTTCATATCGTTTTCGTCGATGTTATGATAGTGGTTATATTCTGATTTGTTTTTTAGCAAATGAGTAGTATTTATTTATTAAATTCTAAAATCATACCATGTCTTGGGGTCTGGACTGTTAATTTTAATTACTGGTATATGAGATATTGTTTTACATCATAATCATAAAAACTCTACCTGTTTTAAAAAAATCAATGGCCAAAAGGAAAAACATAAATGTGTACTAATTTTGGATGAGACAATATACTCGAGCAATTAAAGCCCGGCTTTCAGTTCTTTCAATACTTTGATTATATATGTTTTTTTTCTTACTTGTAGTCTACTAAGATGGATTGCGAAGTTTGTGACAGTCCGGCTGAGTTCACATGCAAGAATTGTTCAGTTAAGCTTTGCACATTATGTGTAGGACTACACATGCTTTCCGAATCAGAAAATGGTCACGATGTAGTGAAATTTTCCGAACAAAATGAATCCGAGGAAAATAAATGCCAGGACCACCCCCAGCAAGAGAGCAGCGCATTTTGCAAGACTTGCCACATATCTATCTGTGTCTTATGTCTATCGGAGAAGCAAAATGCGCATGAAATTGGCGAGTTATCGGAGAAAGTTGACACATTATCCGACATTATCGCCAAAGAAAATGAACAGCTTCAGTCCTTACAATCTGATATGGAAAAAATTCTGGTCCATATCAACAGAAGATCTGCAGAACTTCCACTTGCCTACAAACAGACAAAAAATAATGTTACCTCCCATATCAGGGAAAGGCATCAGGTGATTGATAGAGCAGAAACGGCATTGCACAAAGATCTAGACAAAATGGAAGAAAAGCATCAGGGAAAACTACTGAAGCAAAAGAGAGAATTTGAAGAAATATTGAAGAAATTAAAAAGCTTAGATCAAGAATCTTTAGCTTGGCAAAATCCAAAGACGTTTCGAAATTAATGAAATTTAAGCTTGAACTTGAAAATTTACAAGTGCCAACTTTCATAGAAGAAACAAAACCAGCATTCTTTCAACCTTCCGAGACCAATGAAAGTCAAATATCATCGTATTTCGGTTACATATAGAGACACTGCAATCGTTCAAAAGACCCACAGACAACCTTACACAAGAAGCTGAAGATGAAATCTCCTTATTTCCGAAAGCTCTATATGTACCTTCAGTTCTTACCACCCTTGATGCACAGTTTCCAACTTCTAAAGAAAACAACAACAGGTTGTATTCCATTGTTCCCCTCGGTGACGGCAGGGTGTGGGTAGGTGGACACAGTGATATCCTGAGGCTTTTTTATCAGGAACGTCTTATAGCCACTGTCAATAAAAAGAGTATTGGTTTGTTCCTGACTCTGCATGAGGGACATATAGTTTATCCCGATACTGACAAAACCCTGAAGAAGGTTATAAACGGTAAAATAGATACATTGTTCAGTACTGGCGAGTGGATCCCTGACGGTATCACCTGTACCGCGGCACGTGACTTCCTTGTCTGTCTCCGATCAACAGATGATTCACAGTCAAAGGTCGTAAGATATAGCAGTTCTGGTGACGTCCTGCAGGAAATCCAGTACGACTCCCTGCACCAACCTCTGTTTAAGTGGGCAATTTACGTGGTGGAGGATTGTAACGGCGACATTTGTGTAGTTGATTGGAATAAAAATGCCGTCACAGTCGTTGACAAGTTCGGAATATTCAGGTACTCTTACACAGGGAACAAAGCATCCAAATTCAAACCATGCTCTCTTACCAAAGACAGCATGCATCGTATCATCACCACTGACTTTCTTTACCACAAGATTCACATGCTGGACAGGGACGGTCGATTCCTGAGGTACATCATTCCTGATCAGGGGATACAGAGACCCCGGGCCGTGTGTGTGGTTAGGGAGGGGGAGTTAATGGTGGGGGAGTGTATAACGGGAATGATTAAGAGAATAAAGTACCTAGCCTAAGAATGAAAATTAAAGGCAAAATAGGTTTTATGATTCGATTTTGATATGCCAATACCGTGAATTAATTTTGTTTGTAATGATTTAATAATACATATTTGTATATAGGCTTACATAATAAATACCACATGGACTACTGTAAACCAGCTTTTATTCGCGGCGACTTCATTTCGCGGGGATAAACTACTTCCCGGCGATTACTTTTCGCTATCAAGCCTTTTTGGATCTGTTGTTTTAAAATAGAAAGAGATATTAAGAACCAATTCGCGACGAGAAATATTCGCGATGATGATGCTCTAGCTCGCGAACCTCGCGAAAATTTCTCGCATTCGAATAAAAGCTGGTTTACAGTATTAAGTATTAAGAAATCTTTACTTATGAAAAGAAATAAAATTTGCACTTGCATTGGATTAGGAAACAAAATTTACCTGATTCTAGATAAATGATGTTTCATAGATGTAGATCAGTAAGTCTAATTGTATGTATGTTCAATGTGATTTATAGATTCTGAAATGCATATATCGACCTGATGTTTCTAAAAATGAAAAAAATCTTCCATAAAACATCAATAGTAATGACATCACAATAGCTAATATGACTTGATGGTTCTGAAAAAGTATAATTTACTTCTCTTGTAATAACTGGTAAGATGTAAAAATATCTTGCATAAGGATCTACTTTAAGGCCCTTTCACAATTGGCGCACGAGCAGAAGCGACAAAATATTCGTGCGACCGAATAATTCTGATTAGGATTGTAAACTGTTGCCGAAATAATCGCATATGAAAATGTATTCGTACGACTGTTGTGTATTGAATATTGCAATATATCTTGCGTCTATTCGCGACTGTTGTACAATGAAAACGAGTGTCTTAAGATAATGCGATAAGATCGCGTGAGTAATCAGGTAATCAGACGATTGAACGTGCGCCAATGCAATTGGACATGCGGTGCTCGTGCGCTTATGCATTCCATAGTACATATACGAATGTTCTTGCGAGTCAGAGGGCTGGGTAATTATACCGCCCGTTTCCGACGGTCTTCAGTTGGCATAGACTAAGTGTATGCGAGAGAAGACGCTTATAAATTATACAGGGTATATATCACCCATTCTCAATATAAGGGCTCAAATAATGTCGCCTCATTTTCATTTAGAAGAAATACCACTGATGTAATTTTTAAATCAACATTATAAATAGTCATAAAACAATGAATAAGA